TTGTTAAATTTCTCCTCTGGGGGTTTGACATCTCATTTTACCCGTGCAAGATGCACAAATGGCTTCAGTTAGAAAATGGATTTCAGTTGCCAGTACATTTCAGCAAAATTGGTGAATAAAGTAATTGAATTTTGTGATGGCACAAGACCAAAACCATTGCTTTACCTCACCAGCCTGCGGGTGCCAGTTTTGCTGTGATCACAATGTGTTCTGAATGATCTATGCAGAAAAAAACCCCAAAATGAACAGAGAGAAGTTTATGGCTTTCCTGAGAGGCACTTTTCCAACTTAAAAATATAAACCCTGTGGTTTTCATGGTTTTGAACTGTAACCACAGACATTGAGAACTGGAAAAGATTTGATTTACGGTCACCCTGCTTTTATTGCAAGACTAAGGAAGTGGGTTTATTTTCTTAATTAAAAAAGTTAAATGCCTTTGAATTAGTGTTTAAAACAAAAGTTTTTTAACGTGAATTTAGTGCTTGAGGAAAGTACCTGATGGGGGGGGGATAACCAGGTTGGTTGTACCTACACAAAGCAGGTGCAGAACACCGTTTTCCCCAAGGGCTTCACCAAGATATTTCCATTTGTGCCAGGGTGGAGCTGTCCTTATGGTCGGAGGTTCTGGGGTTGCCTGTCACTTTGCACTTCTTTGAAGCCCACAAAAAAGGATGCACCTCAGTTACAGTGATGTATGTGTATGAGAGAGGGGTGGTGAAGGGGGAGGGGGACAGAAGTGTGGATATCTGTCCTTTGAGAACGGGATGAGATCACCAGTCCCAGGGCAGTGACAGAGCATGCAGGTGCTGATGGTACTGCACTCTGCTGCCCACTCCTCCCATTGGATGCATAACGTAGAGCAGGGATGGGCAGTTATTTTGGCTGGAGGGCCACTTAATGCATTTTGGTGAGCTGTCCAGGGCCACACACACAGAGTCTTTCACAAGATACCATTTTAACAAATTATACATAAAAAACCAAATCATGTACTATACTATATTTTAATTTTATTTCAAAAATAACGTTTGTCCTGATTTATGGTTGTTTTGCGTAGTGTATATAGAGGCAATTGCATAACAGCGGTGCAGAATAAAGTGTTTACTCTTGTATATTGTGTGTGGAATGGGAAGTGTGTGCATGTATGTGTGGGCAGCTGCCCATGCACTAGGTCCTGGGAGCCAGTTGGGGGTGGAGGGGAGGGGGAGGGAGTGTGTGCAGCAGAGCTCCCCTGGGTGGCGCATGTGCGGCCTGCCTCTCCCCTGCATCCGGTCTGTGGCTGCCCCAGTGGTGCTTCTTGGGACTGAGCCTCACCTGCTTGCATCTACCCCACGTCCACCAGCACTGCCTTGGCCCCAGCCAGTGAATGCAGCTTCCCAGCAGGGTTGGTGCCACAGCCACCTAGGTTTGCTAGACTCCCCCTGCCTCCAGTGGCTCCTCCTCCTCCGCCTGCCTCTCCAGGTAACAAGGGAGAGCCATAGGGATGTGTGCTGGGCAGCAGATGCCCGACCAGGCAGGAGGAAGCTTAAGCTGGGTGTTCCTGTCCCAGCACGTGGGGCTCTAGCTTCAGCTTCCGGCTGCCCTTCTACCAATACCTAGCTGGCCGCTCCCGTTCTAGAAGCATAGGACTGGAAGAGATGTCCTTGGTCCACAGATCCAGTTCCTTACTGTCTCTAGTGATTAATGTCATCTCATCGTTTGGATACATTTCTCAAGCCCTCCCTTAAAATTAATGAGATTTCTTTCCCCCGCTACTGGTGTTGGAATGCTGTAACAAAACATCACTTCCCTGATAGTTAAAAACCTTCTCATTTCCAGCCTAAATTTTATTTTTTTCCTTGTTTTTATCACTTTTCTTTATCTTAAATAACTTCCTACTCCCAGGTGTTTTTCTGATCACCACTATATGTAAAGAGCATTCATATAATTTCTCAGCCTTTGATTTGCAAGGCTAAAGAAGCCAAGGTCTTTTAATCTCCCCTTGGACGATAACCCTCCATTTCCCTGATTATCCTAGTAACTGATTTTTGCACCTGTCCTAGTCTGAATTCCTTTTCTGGTTAGAATTGCACAGCATATCCCACACAGGGTCTTAACAGTGGCATTAATGTTTCCATATCATTGCAGTATATGTTTACCCCATGTATCCTAGGATTGCATTTGCCTTTCTGAAGGCCACATCACATCAGTGGCCCATAGTTGCTCTGTAATCAAGTAATACACCCAGGGCTTTCTCCTCATCAGTCATTTCTAACTGGGATCTCAGTTTATATTGGAAATTGTTTTGTTCCCTCAGTGTGTCCTTTCCTTTCCTTCCCGTGTCCTTGTGACAAGTTATTTAGCAGAACTTGCAGATTCATTGGAAGCTGACATGGCCACTTCTGCCGTGGTCTCAGATTTGCAACTACTAGGCTGTCAATCGTGAGGCTTAGCACCTGTGCCATCCCAGCCCCCTCCCGCAATCTGTGATGTTATAGTTGTGCTGTCATCCTATTTCTATTGCTCTGCTCCTCACAGCCATGCAGTTCTTCCTGTATGATATCCCAGTCCTCCTCAGTATCAACACTGCCTCCCAGCTTTGGGTTATAAGTACACTTATGCACCCTCCTTTTTTTTCTTTTTTTCCCACTCGCTACACATTGATTTCATGCTGTTGGTTCACTGTGCAGCAGAAGGGGGCTAGCAGGATGGGCAACAACAGCAAAAATGATTTGGCTGCCTGGAACTGTGGCTTAGTGGAGGCCCTTGAAAGCCAGGAGGTGTAACTGCAGGGGAAGTTATGTTTGGATTCTACAGTCTGCTGGATGGAGCAAATCTGAAGTGTTAGCTCTACAACGTGACACTTGCTGGTATCTCATCTCCAGTCCTTTCATTTTCTTTTTGAAGTTGGTGTGCACCTGAGATTGCATCATATCATTTACCCTGTATCTGGGGAGATGAGCAGACAGTCTAAAGAAGAGCTGGTGTCATGCAGAGGCTGGTGTAATGTGGAGACACAGTTTTCCTGTCACAGTTCCCCCTATGCATTGAGTCACAGTTCCACCTATGTATTGAAACACTAGTGAGGTTTTCTGTCAGTTGCAGGAAGATTTAGGTAGGAAAAAAAATCGCCAAATAAAGAATTTGTTTCGATAATGGGGGTGTGGAACACTTTTGTCAAGTTTAACAGTTGGCTTTATGCAAACTGAACTGCTAGTTTCCTAACTGTTTTTTTTTCCTAGATCATCCCAAATTGATCAATATAATTCATGATAGTTCTGATTTGCAATGAACAGTTAAATGCTCTGGGCTAAATTCTGCCCTTTCATGTGTGCGCACAACTCTGGAAATAATTTTTTTTGGGGTGGGGGGAGTATGTTTATTTGCACACTAAATTTGGCTAGCTGTTATTATTTCTTGAGAAATATAATTTTATTCTGGTTTTTTTTTTTTTTTTAATTGTTTTTAAAGATGGAGCTAGGGAGTGCTTCCAGCTTTCCAAAAGACCTAGAGATGATCTAACATATTACGTAATCAGTTGTAAATGTGCCTGCTTCAGGCTGTTCATGTTATCCTAGAAGGAACGCCATATTGGGAATACTAGTAGAGGTGAAACAGTGCTGTTGGTTCTACGTGCAGTATATTGGCTACTTACAGTATTTTATAAATATCACATTTTACAATGAAGCCAGATTGAGGCAAAGCCTCTTGCTCAAAATAACTATCCTGTGGTTGAAATCGTATGCTAAGATAGTCTCCCTTCATCTTGAGTTCAGTTATCCAAGATTTATAGCATCCCAAGGGTAATTCAGTTGGAGGCATCTCTCTTTCAACTTACGTAATTTTTATTCTTCTACATGAAGTGACACTTAATGTAAAAACAGTGCTGTTTATGAATCCACAATCAAATTATACTAAAGGATAGCTTTGACACTTGTAATTAAACTAGCTAGGTTCAGTACTAGACACTAATAAAAGATTTTCCTTTAGCCTGTGCTAATTAATGCAAAAATTAGTGAGTGCATTCTTATGAAGCAAGCAGAGATACTGAGGATTTGATTGTTCTTAAATTAAATACACCTAAATGTTGACTATTCAGGGAGTGTTTGCTCAGAGTGGTTTGATAAATAATATGGAAACATCTCAAATACTTAAAAACTGCATTTAAAACAATTCTTTTTAATCAAGAAAGCTTGAAATGTGTCTGCAATTATTATTAATTTATTCTGTGAAAGGAACCCTAATGATATGCCCATCCTGTTGTTTTGTGTTGCATTTTTGGGTTTTATGCATATTGTCATCTCTTATCCTCCCAGTAAATGGTGCTTTGCCAGAAATATGGAAACGCTGGGCGGGCCGACTCCGCATGAGAACTGTAATAACACAAACCAGTGAAGCTGGAGCACAGTGCCCAGGCAATTATTGCCAGCTGACAGAATCTCTCCTACAGTTAGCAAGCAAATGAAGGGTGGTTTCCAAATGAATTCATCTACTTGTGTCTCTTGTCTGAATGCTGGGATGATGTCAAAGCTCAAAGCCATTTTAGTGAGCTTTTACTGATTGTCCTTTCTAAACCATGCAGCCAACTAACTCTTTTAAGGGCATTTTGTTTTTATTTAAAAAAAATGGATAGATCAGTCTAGTGATATTTGCTGCACGGCCATTAACATGGTATAGTTTCAAATATATCCAGAGAGCTTTTAAGCATTCAAGTGCAAGGGGGTGGGTGTATTTAGTTAAAGCTATGCATGGGTGATGTCTCCTGTTTTGTTAGGGTTCCAGAGTGAGGGATTTTAGCACTTTAATCCTGACTGACAGTTGGAGGGGTTGGTGGTTTCAAACACTGTGGCATGGAGTGGCTGATTCCTCTTCTGCAGAACAATGTACCAGTGTGTCTAGGCTGCCTGTACAAAGGCAATAAATCTGTTTTGTGTTGTTTCTCTCCCCCTTCTCTCTCTCTCTCTCTCTCTCTCTCTCTCTCTTTCTTCCCCCTCCCCTTCCCCCCTTTCCCCCTCTCCCTCCAGGCCAGGACCCACTCCTATTGCTGAAAACCCTTCAGTCTCTCTGGACAAAGAAAGAGATGAAGGTAAGACTGTATAGTGAACCTTCCCTTCACACTGCAGCTAATAACTGTATGCAGAGCATGTCCAGCCTCAGAGCACTTGGGTCAGACCTGCAATTCTTCATGAATGCTTTCAGTTCCAATACATAGGGGAAGGATCTACACATTTGCAGTTTGAAGGGGAAATAAAAGGCAGCCCTTTCCAATGTGCCAGAGTTATGGGAGATGCATAAAAAGGCTGCAGAACACAGGGCCTGAGTTTTAAAAAATTGAAGCTCAGCTTTTCTTCTAAACAATTTTTTGTCCATTAAATATGTAGAGTGAGTAAACTGAAGATTTAAGATCCTGTCTCCTCTTTATACTTGACAAAGGAGTGTTGAAATCACCCAAGAAGTTGCCCTTTGCTAAGTGGAATGATATTTAGACCTGCATATTTTATGCCTTTTTACCCCCCCCCCCCCCCTTTTTTTTTTTTTTTTTTGGTAGCTCTTTGGAGCAGTTTGGTCTGTGCAGAGTTATTGATATATTTTTAAATGGCCCTATGATTCTGTGGTTCTATTCATTTATTTTTCATGGGAATGAACTACACATCATGAACATTTGGGAACTTGAAAACAACCCAAAAGTAAGCCATGATTGTTCCCCATGCTTAACTATCCCTGTTACCTAGGCAGGTTGATAGCAGACTTGTTTTTCTGAAAGACTTGGAAACTTGGAGGATACTATAGTGTCATCCTGATTTACTGACTGCAGTCATGACAGTGCCCAAAGAATGGTAGTGTACGTGCTACATTCTAGCTGTATAAAACCCTCAGTCATCATGCATGGCTGGTGCACTTCAGACTTTCCACAACTGCTGGCTTGGGGTCCCAGCCTGAACAATTGAACAACTGGAGAGATGACATTAAAGAAATATCTTTCTGAGTAGTCAGTTACTGACACAGACTAGAGCTCAGCATTTATGAAGCCTCAGGCGATCTATCAAATTGTGCTAGAGCAAGAGGAAAACATTAATTGTTAGGTTTTGAGGACAGCTTAGTCCACCAAAACAATAAGGGAAAATAATCATCCAGATGTATGCACTCTGTAAATTGGAATTAGGGTGGGTTGTAAACCAAAATGTTTTGAAAAAACCCTCAAAGCCTCCCATCAGAGTGTCTTAGGCAGACTGTACCACAGGTTTGTTTTTTTTTTGTGGAAAAGGGAGAAACTTAAGGATCTCCATGACTCAGCCAGGTTCCTGCGTATCTGTTATTTTATCACCCCAGCAATGTCTGTGAATTCAGATGGCTTGTTATGAACCCATCCTGACTAAAGGGTAAAAGACCCCTTACAGTGATACATGTGCATTGTACATAGTATATTGATTTGCAGTGCTGCAGGCAAGCCTAGCCTCATGGACCCCCACCACTCACTGCTCTTCTGCATATATTTCTGTACACATGCAAGGGAACTGTTTCTCTGTGAGACTGGAAGATCAGCCCTTGAACCAGTGGAAAAATCATTAGCATATATGAGGAGGACACTTTCAGAGGCAGGGAAGCAGGGCAGTGACAGCTGATTATGAGACTGACATGGGGAAAGTAAACTTGATGTCCTCATGGATGTGTGATACACGCTTCCCTTTTGCAGTTGTTAGTGTGTTGTTGACGTGCAGTTGGAATAATCCATCTTTTGGAGACATTTCCTGCCTCCAGATGTGCAGTGTGCTCCCCTTCCCATGTGAAGGTAAAATTAAATAGAAAAAGACCCTATTTGACGGCAAAAGAAGCCATACATTTGTAACTCATCTCCCCATCTGGTTATACTGTGTTCCAAGCTGAAAGAACATGCAGCAGTATCACAGTTTCAGATATAATGATTTGACACAAAGTGCCCCTTATGCTTAGTTTTGAAGTAAATGCATTGATTTCAGTTACTCCTGAAGTAAAATTTAAAGTGAAACTAATTCACCTTCTGTTTAGTATGCAGTGGCCTGGGGTAACTTTGCAATGTCATTCCTATTAATGCTAAAGAGCAATAATTCCTTCCATTTACCTCCCTTACCTTGCCGGCCCATGCACACTGTAGAAGAAATAGATTTTTATGTTTGCCTGGGACCCCAGTTCAGCAACATAGTTTAAAAAATTCAGTGATTTTATTTGTACAAGTGATATCAGTTTAATTCAGGGCAGTGATCAGAAGCATTCTCTTTTCCCTTCTTTTTTTCTCTTCTACGTGTAATCTGAATATCAGCAAAAACTACCTAACCATGTGATCTGCAAGACTAGTATATTGTCCCAAAGAGGGTGGTTGAAGCTCTGATGTGTGAAACATTGATGCATCAATGGTAAATATATTTTGGGGAGGAACTTTCTGATCAGCGTATGCCATTTATCACACCCATAGATCACTAGGGACTTCAAACATTTTTCCCACTGCTTAGAAAATCTAAATGATCCCTAATCAAAATTTGATCTAGATACATTGCCACTGCTGCCCTTGCCACTTGCACAACCGTTCTGAGGTATTTGTGTATGAAAGGAGGCTTGCGCTCTCGCAAGGCTATTGTCTGCTGTAGCCAAAAATGCCAAAAGCCCA